ACCCACAAAATGGCAACAGTCTGGATGTGCACCCAATGTTGTTCCCTCCAGATGTTGTTGAACTACAACTGCCATCATCCCTGATCAATGGCCATGCTTCCCCAGCTAAGGAAGGCACACAACTGGTAGTAATTCCTTCTTGTCAAAAGCAGTAGCTGCTAAGGTGCCCCGAATGCATATGTGCACATGCTTCTAGTCTCTAGACCAGGTCTGTGCCCTGCAGAGCAGTTGCAGCAACAGTGGGACCACATACATCATCTTATGTATCCTCATCTGATGGTACATAACAAACTATGTACGCACCCAACCTGAGGCTTCTCTTATATGGAAGCCATGGCTGCTCTTTCCTCTTCAAGCCCCTCCTGATTCTAGGAGACATTGGGGTGGGGATGGCGGGGATTTGACGGGCCCATCCCTCACCTGAACAGTCTTTTCTCCCACCTCTGCATGTCCTGCATGCCCACCTTGGTCTCTGACAGCTCTGACCCTTACTTTCTCCACTTCCCTTGCAGGCAGCACAAACCCCATAAACTGCTATCCCCCTCTCTTGCATCAGTTGCCTGACTGGCCCCCTGTCTCCATCACACGCTCATCAAGAGCCCCACCGGTCCCTGACATCAAAACCTGTGTTACACAAGAAGTGTAGTTTTCCTAGCAAAGAATCATACTTGAGAAATAATCCTGGTCTGTTGCGAGGAGCCAGGGTAGAATTATCTGGCAGCTCTGGGGTGGAGTATGTGGACTGTTCAGTGTTAGTAAAGAGCAAATTTGCTGAGACACTGAAGGAGCCAAGACAGGAGTTGTTGAGTAAGAGGAAAATTAGTAGAATATGATAGGTTATGAGTGCAACCTGGAAAATCGGGAAGGTCCAGAAATTATACTGCATTTAATACAACAGGGTCAAACTGGAGCAAGCATTTGATTTTGGATTTGGATTTGAAGACAAATCATGCAAAATCAACTGCTTCCTGATGGCAAAAGGAAACAAAAAAATGCCTTAAATAGCATGTTTATATAATTCCCTCTCTTTTAAATTCTGTTATATAATTCTAATTACATTAGTTCCTTATGAGTCTTTCTGTATTACTTTGTATATTAGGAAAGGCATCATGCAGTTCTGTCCTGTGTCTGAACTTCTACTTAGTTTGCAGTAGACTGCAGAATGAATGGTTGGTGAGTTACATTTCTGACCCAAACATGCAGGCTTCCCTTTGTTCTCTAGCCCTCCTTGCAGCCTGCATGTGGCCTTCTAGGCTCCTTCCAGATGGCAATTGTTGACGGCCTTTAACAGTGGCAATCCATAGTATATCTGTTTCACTCAACATATGTCTATTGATTGTTATGAATACAGCAGGGGACAGAAGGCTCCACAGATGCCCTTCAGCGTTTGACAGAGGTGAACTTTTCTGTTCTACAGACCTTTCCAGTAAGTCACTGATGATGAGTCTGTTGTAGGATTTATTTAGGCAATTTGGTATTTATTTTGGGGGCACTATACTGATTCTTTTTTCCCTTTTATTGTGTAATCTGTTTCTAAAGATAGCTCTCCCCCCCCCCATGCTCATCTCAGTTGGGAAGCCTCTTCTGCCTATGGAGGCTCCTGGCACAACTTAAAGCCCTCATTGGGCACAGGTTTAACTTCTCCTGGCCCTACATAACAGTAACAACCGAACAGGGCTGAAGTGTACTGCTAAAAAAGAAAAAAGGACAAGCTCCTCCAAACTCTAGGTCTGGACAATATCTTTATTGGGGCCAACTAAAATTTCACAAAACGGTGGCAAGCTTTCTGAGTTCTCTAGAACTCGTTAATCAGGCAATATGTTACAAAAAGGAGAAGAGGGGAGGGAAAACAAAACAAAAAGTATACAAATTAGGCTGGAGGTTGTAGCCTGTAGGCTTAGTTCCAGGATAGCAGATCACCCCTAAAGTCGCATATGCACTAATACACTGCCCCCCTCCAGTTTGAAATTGTTCATGCTCTTCCTTAACATGCTGGCTTCAGTCTAGATTGATTCTAGATCCTGTTATCCAGAAGAGAGAGAGAGAAGAAGAGTTTGGATTTGATATCCCGCTTTATCACTACCCGAAGGAGTCTCAAAGCGGCTAACATTCTCCTTTCCCTTCCTCCCCCACAACAAACACTCTGTGCGGTGAGTGAGGCTGAGAGACTTCAAAGAAGTGTGACTGGCCCAAGGTCACCCAGCAGCTGCATGTGGAGGAGCGGAGATGCGAACCCGGTTTACCAGATTACAGGTCTACCGCTCTTAATCACTACACCACACTGGAGAGAAAGAGTGGTGGTTACTTGATATGCATTTAAAACCCCTCTCCTGGACTAGGTTCTCCATGCCAATTCTTCCCTGAATACGCCCCAAGTGAACAAAGAAGGAAGTGTGATTGTGATCTTGGTAAACATTCACCCACAACATCATTGGGCAGGGGTGAATACATTCCCGACATTGCCAGGACTGCCTATATTTGTTTTCATCTGTTCCCAAATAGACACACTGAGGAATAAGGCAGAATCAATCTGCAATGAGCTTTTATTATCAGAATGAAACCAGTTTCTCAAAAAGTACGCTTTGGGGCCAAAAAAATATGCAATGGATCAGGCACATCCAACTCCCAAGAGACTGAGATCTACTCCCAGAGTTGTTGAGCTTTTTTTCGGAAGGATTACAAAGAGTTGCTGAGCCTTTTTTAAGGTATAAAAACATAAATTGCTCACCATGAAACCTGACGCAACAGAGGGACAGAGCAAGAGGGGCAGGGGGTGGAGACAGTCACTCCTTTTTTAAAAAAATACAGTGATCGAGAAGGATCCCATGATCGACCGCAATCTACCAGGATCAACCGGTGATCAGCCGGTTGGACATGTCTGCAATAGGTCTAAATCAGGGGTTCCCAAACCATGGTCCACAGACATTCTGGTAGTTCATGGGAGGTCTGTAAAAATACAATTAAAAATCAACCCACACCTAGAACAGCACATTACAATTGTTACAAGAGGCTGAAAAATAATTGAGTGGTCCACCAAGACCCTCAACAGTTTTCAAGTGGTCTTGGGGGGGGGGCGAATTTTGAGGACCACTGTTCTGGATTGTTTATGGGCTACATAGGAAAAACAAATAGTCTCCACTGATTCTCAAATCAACTGATTCTTCTCGGATCAAGAAGTAACGGCTGTGCCCCATTTTTTAAAACATAAAATCTGGCTTGTAACCCAGATCCGTTCTACTCCTTAAAAACAAAAACACAGCTGTTCCTGGTTAGACAGGCAGCAGAAGTAAAGAGAAACCAGGCAGGCTTTTTATTGGCAAAGCCAGAGGTTAATTTTGTGGGAAATTGCAGTCAAACATAGCTAGCAAGTGTAGGGCTAGTTAAAGTATGAAGGGGTTAAGACCACAGAATTGTAGGTCACCTAGAAGGAAGTTAACTTTCCTTCTTTGCTTGTTCTCTTTCACCATGTGACCTCACTGAGGTAGGATGAGCCTGAGTTTGCTCGCTACAGGCTCAGAGCATGTGCTTAGAGCTATTGCACTGTATTTTGTATCTCAGGATTTCTGCCTCTGTTGACTTGCTGCTGCCTGGATAAATGCATGAACCCTGACCCTTGGAACTTTGTAAGTATAACATTTTAAAACTTACAAAGGTATGTAGTCTGTTCAGTACTAAGAGGGGTAGAAATGGAGAAGCTCTGCTAACAGACTAAACATAATATTAAAAGGTCTAACAACCTATATTCATCACACTTCATTCTGCTGCATGATTCTTTGATTTTAAAACTCTGCTGGGGGCTCTCTCTTGCAGGAGTGTTTGTTTAGCTCTGTGCTTTGATTCTAGGAATCCAGCCAATTCTTGTATTAGATACCCCACATGGGTGAGCTATATAGGTATTTCCCCCGCAAACTTTGCATTTGTGGGGAAAATACATATATTTAATGAATAAAAGATTATTCATTAAATATGTTGCTTGGAAGATATGTTGCTTGGAAGACATATATAGGGTTGCCATATTTCAAACAGTGAGCTTGGGGGAGGGGCAAAAAGGGAACAGAGCAGAGGGAGGAATGCAGTGGCCAATGGAAAATCAGCAAACACGATACTACCGCTGTCCAGATTTTCCCAGACATTTTGCCGATTTCTGCCCAGACACTGCTGCCGACTGCAATATTCTGGATATAGGACATGCAAAGGCAGGTGATGGCTGAGTCGTTAAGCAAACAAAGGCAGGGATATGTACCATTACCCATTAGCAGAGACTCTGTACAGCAGAGAGGTGGCCTTCTAGCTGTGTGTTAGCAAAAGTTGCGTTCAGGATTGCAGTTTACCAGATGTTAGGTAGAGAAGAAAAGTTGCAGTCTGTTAAAGGCAGCAGGCTGCAGAGGGGGAGTCAGAGCACAATGTGGGTTGGCAGTTTGAATTGGAGGCTGCAGAAATGGGAGAAACGTTACCTTCTTGGAGTGTAACACTGGAAGCCCCTCCATCATAGGCTCAGGTTGTATATATGGGTAAATAAACCACATACTATAAAGACACCGCAGTCTCTGCCGTGCCTCATCTCCAAAGGTAGCACAAGTCCCGCGCAAGTGCCTTGACCCCTGAATCTCACACAGCTTGGAGACTGCAGTGGCAGGTAACAAGACCGTGTTTGGAAGGCATATATAAATTGCATCTGTGTAAAGGATTGGGAAACAATCTGTCAAAGGGGTCAATTAAAAACGAGGCAAAAGGTAACAATGTGATGATTCTTAATGAAATAGGGTTAGACCTTTCTCCAACCTTTGCTCGCTGGCTTGTCTTGGTTTTAATTGCTAATCTTTTGAGTAATGAAGCGATGACGCAATGACTCAACACAGCTACCTCACAACATTTCACGACTGAGGTGGGGTGGGGAAAGGGCGTTTCCAGGCAGTCACAGGACTCCATTTCCCAGAGATCCCCGCGCACACCTTAACCCCTCCCTGCCGCTCGCTCGCTGGCTTTTATCTCCCGAATCCCGCTGCTAGCAGAAGCCACAACCTGCTTATCTGGGCGCGCTCGGGCTGCGCTTCAGCAGGGCTGTGTGTGGGCGCGCGCGCGGCTGCGGCTGAAGCCCGGGCTGGGCAATTGCGCTCACCTTTCCCTCGCTAAGCCGCCGGGGCAAGAGAGAGGGGTCGGCTGGCGGTGCGCCTTCGCCGGGCAAGAGGCGAATGTAGGCAGGGAGAGAAGATGGTGCTCCGAGTGTTCGTCGCTTCCCTCTCGGGCTCCGTGACGGTGAGTGGGGGAGAAGGGGAAAGGGAGGGCGAATGAAGGCAGGCGGGAGCCGCCTTGCGCTGCGCTCCTGAGGGGACTTCCTTGGGGAAAGCCCCGCGGGCGACTGGCGGCTGGTCCCCAGGGGGACGCTGCGTCCCCTCAGCGCCGAACCAGACGCACCAGAACCGCCGCCCTGCAGGTGAACGGAAGGAGGGAGGGGAATCCCCGAGGAAACCGTCTCATCACCCCAGAGGTGGAGCAGTTCCATTGAATGGAGAGCATTTCGGGTTGCCCTATGGACGCTTCTGCGTCGCTCCCCGCGGAGGGACAGCTCTCTGTTTCACCTCGGGCTGGCCGAGAAGAAGGCGCTGGCTTTGGCTCACCCCGAGCTCTAGCGGCCCCTTTGGCACCCAGCCCGGCAGGACCTCCTGACGTGGTGCCTGGGTTTCTGATAAACGGGGCTTCTTTCCTTCCTACAAAAATAAGGCCAGGGAGACGAATCCTTCCTCCTTCCAACCAATCAAGCAGCTCAAAAACAGCACCAGGGTTGCAAACTTGAATAAAATATTTTGGGGGAGGGCAGGTAAGCCCCGTCCCACGTAATCCATCACATGACCTATACTATTTGAATGGCAATGCCCATCAACTTGTTGGGGGGGGGGCTCAGATATTTTATTTTTTGGGGAGTTGGCAAAGGGACCTCAGCCCTTAGGAGTTCGCTCCTGTGGTCTGAAGCGTTTTTGTCCCCTTTGGTCTCCAGCCCTGGAGGGGCCCCATGTGGTAGTAGTAGTTGTAATATGGCGATCTGGGTTTCTGATTTTGGACTTCTGTTTGTGAAAAGGTCAGGGAGACAGTTGGTTTTAAGTAAAAAGGGGGAAGGATTAAAGCACCTCAAAATCAGCACAGGATGATGAATGCTCTACTTGGGATGGGGAGGGGAGATGCTCATAAGCTCGCATGGCTTGGGGAGCTGTTGGATCTGCTCAGATTGCTGCACATCTAGACTGTGGTTCTATTCACACGTATTTGGGCGTAAATTGAAACTTGATGCCACAATGCACTACTGGGTAAACATATAATCATCATGTGCAGTAAGGCAAATTTCATTAAGGCATTGTAATAGAAGACATTAAGAGACAGAAGAGGCAAAAAAAATATTTACGTAACTGAACCAAAACGTGTGTGCTGAAATATAATTTATACTGACACATGCTGAACTGTTGAACAAAAACTTGTTTTCTTTCCCGGTACCATAAAATATAGACTAGTGTAAGTCAAAGACATATGGTAAATATTAATGTCTGAGTCACTGCGATCCTAACAACTTATCTCCCGCTGTTAGATTTAATGAATAATATTGACACATGATGAACAAATGTGCTGCTTAACCAGTAGTAGATGGCTTTAATTAATATAAAGATTTTTAGGTCACTTGAAAACCTGCCTTTTAACTGGTTAATCGGTTTACATTGAGGTATACTTGTTTTTGCTGGAACTTCAATGGAAGTGTCTTTTGAGTTTGAAATATTGAAGGAAGTGCAGCATGACTTGCAGTGTAATAGGCAAGAGGTGCAGCTTTTAGCTGGAAGGAAAGGCCAAGTTTACTATTCCCACCCCTCATCCATGTTATGGTAACACCCAAGAACGAAAACAGCCTCTTGTAATAGAACAGTGTCACTTGTAACTTACAGATGTCTCAATTTTAAAATTGTTCCCTGCCATAATTGCCCCACTCCAAATCCTATACATGCGTACTTCATAGAATTGTAGAGTTTGGAAGGCCCTACGAGGATCATCTAGTCCAACCCCCTGCAATGCAGGGATTTTTTGCTCTCCAAGGGGCTCCAATGACCCTGAGATTAAGAGTTTCATGCTCTACCAGTGTCATTTGCCACTAAGACTTTCTCAGTAAATATGCTTATGAACTACTTAAGCTGAATGAACTACATACTGAGCCAAGCTTTCAGCCCTTGTTCATAGTTCCCTAGCCCATGACCTGTGGGAACCTATTCTGCACACCATCTTAAAATAGTCCTAAATGCTCAAGAAATGCTTTCAGGTTTCTGTGTTAGCAGCAAAAAAAAATTAAAGTGTCTTGCGGCACCTTAAAGACTAACTGTATAATTCTAACCATGTTTACCTACTAGTAAGACCTAATGAATTCAGTGAGACTTAACATCAGGTAAGAGAATGCAAGGCTGCAATACTAACTCCAGTCAGGAAAATCCAGTCCCTGGTTGGCTGGGCAGCCACAAGGCATGATGGAGCCACCGCTTCATCCACAGCCCCATCACTCATGCTAGCAGAGGTGAAAGGCAGGGTAGGTAAATGGCCTTGCTATCCTGGAGCTGGCACAGCAGTTGGGCTTCAGGGATCCAGCAGATTCCAGGATAGTACAACCACTCCCTGAAATGCCCCATTTTGAAGCTTTCCGCAGATTACAAACAGTGAGGATCTTGCCGGCAGTATTTCTGCTAGCCCATTTGGTGTGCATCTATGCCAGTCAAGTGATTCACCCCAGCCCAGTGCAAAAGAGGTTTGGGTTGAAGCTTTAGTGTCTAAGGTGCTGCAGGACTCATTGTTGGACTTAGGCTCTGGACTGCAATACCTTAAGGACCACCTCTCCCCATATGAACTGACCCAGGCCCTGAGACCATCATCTTAAACCTTCCTTCATGTGCCTTCTTCACAGAAGGTCCAGAGGATGGCAATATGAGAACGGGTCTTTTCTGCAGTAGCTCTTCATTTGTGGAATGCTCTCCCCAGGGAAGTTTGTCTGGTGCCTTCATTTAGGTGCCAGGCAAAAGTTTTCCTCTATAGCCTGGCCTTTGGCATTTAACTACATATAGCTTTTTAGAAGTGGGTGGGGTAAGATTTTTTAATGTGTTTCTCTTTCCTTTTAGTTTTAATGTATCTATGTGGGGTTTATTGTTTGCTTGTTTATTTGCTTGTAAGTTGTTTTTGGTTGCCCTGAGCAAGAGAAAGCAACTAACAAATTTAATAAATAAGTAAACTTAGCTTGTATATCTTAGTCTGCATTCTTGCAACAGCACCAGTTTGGTATTAGTCTGATAATTTGAAGGTCCTAGGGCCAAGCAAACTATGTCACATTGAAAAATTAAATAAATTGTCACAGTCATGTAGTATTACTAAAATCAAATCAATATTTCTTCTGGCTTTGTGTTAGTGGTTCAAATGTCCTATATCTTTGCCTTGGTGTAATTGCTTTTTCATATAACCAGAGACAACTGCGTATCCATTTCATCTTGTAATCCATTTATCTATTAGGACTGGTAATTCAGATTTCTGTAATTCTGCTAATTCTGGTATCTGAAAAGGTAATCTGATTGTAGTTATTGATCCATATATGTTCTTGAGCAGACTTATTGGAGAGCTTCTCTGTGATGGCAATGAATTGTGCTTCAGTAATGCTGGTACTGAACTTTGCATTCTGTACAAACATATACACACTGCATCTGTAGACCGTGCATTTCTGCTGGAAGACTTTTAGCTGTATAATATCTGTGTTCATTTTATTGGCACAATGAAAGTGGAACCTCCTAATACAGCTTAGCATGATGCATATGCAGTGCTCAGTGGCTAAGTACTAATGGCCAATAACAATTATTTATCCACGTCAGGAGCCTGCTGTGTAAACATAGATTCTTTTTGGCACTTGTACAATGTACAGTCATTGAACACTCATAATAGAAGCCTTCCTCCTATTATTACTGTCAGTTATTAGCAGCTAGCTTATATTGTAGTAATGCAACACCAACATCTTTCAGTTTTGTCACATGTTTTTTTTAAAAGGGTGCAGATGCTTTCTGTGTATGACAGAGGTAGGGAATCTTTTATAGCCCAGTGGACCAGATTGTTATCTCCTCTACCTCCCACAGGCCAAGTTTGACAGGTGGGTAGAGCTGCCCACCTGTCAACCACTTGATGTCACAATTATGTCAAGTGACCTTTTTTTTTGCTGTAGGGCTCTTAAGGAAAACTCCTCAAAATATTCTCTCCCTCTGCACTTAGAAAATGGCTTTACAGGTGCCTACAAACACACTGTCAGCCAAACCCTGGCCTTACCTGCCCCACATTGGGCATCATAACAAGACAGGTGTGGGCAGGTAGGCATGGCTTGGCTGAACTGGCCTCATGGGCCTATTTAGGCCTGCAGACTGGAGGCCTCCCTGTTACGTATGGCGTAAAAGCTAGGGTACTGTAAGAGATGGGTTGCTTAGCGCACCTTGGAGTACAAGAAGTGCTAACCTTGTTTTTCCAGCAGAACTTGAGATATGCAGGTGGAACTCCCATGATATATTAGCAGTGCAATTCTGCTGGTGAAGAGGTGCTGACAGGGCTGGCAAAAACAGGGTGGAATCATGGGGGAGGATCACGACTTTACCCCCATTGGCTGCCAGCTTTTTACACCAGGAATTTCTTCCATTTCTGCCATAGTGGCATGACATAGCATAAGATAAGGTGTTGTTCAACACCCAGTTGCATCACACCACCAATTGTATATGAACCCTGCATAGGGAGATAACACATCAGATAAGAAGGTGCAGTGCATCCCGGGGCCATATATCTCTGGCTCCAAGTCACACATACCTAGAGCTCACAAAGGAATGTCCTGGTTTTTGGGGAGGGGAACTATGGAGAAAGGAGCACATTACCTAACAAGGGGGCTTTTCTGTGCACATTGCTAACGCTTCCCCTACTAGAACCCTGATAGGTACTCTGCCACGAGAGGATCAGCCTCCACTCTGTTCCAACAAAGTGAGTTCCCAGGAGAGAGTACCCCACATGGGTAAACAAGGGAAGAGAGGAAACCACTGTTTTAGTGGATAACTGCTGCAGCCATCTACCACTTCCTTTGTCATATGCAAATACTTGGTTCCTCCTTGCAGGCTTTGCTCAAGGGCCAGGCCTTCCACTCCAGCCATTGCCACTGCTGCCCAATTCACCAACACTGATGGTGTTTAATAAAGGCTGTAACAATTCCAGCTGTGTCTCTGTTCCTGTGATGGTCAGCAGATAGGGTCCTACCACCCTTCCCATTGTAATGTACCTCAAGTATTAGCATCCAGGGACAGAGGGTTCTTCCCTTGCTTTCTGAAGATCCTGTGCTTGTTGATGGTCCTTGTACAGGATGGTGAGGGGAGCAACCCTAGAAAGTCATCGCCCTTCTGGCACTCTCCCCTCTTCTTTCCACCTACTCCTGTTACGGTTGTATCTCCAGCTGTTGGACCAGGAGAAGCGGAGGGGTTTAGGCGCATAGCAAGGTGATCCCAAGAGGCACCAGTAATTATAATCTGAATGAGCATGTGTGGCTAGATTGGATGGTGAGGTCTAAGTGAAAGCTGCCATGATGCCCTACAGTCACCATTTGCCAGTCACTTTGGCTATGTCATTGCTGAGGCTCAAGCCTTATTTAATCCCTCCCAACCTCAATTATATTCTAAGGGGAAGAGCAAGGGTGAACTCACTGTTTCCTGGATGCTCTCCTTACACTTCCTTGAGCCCTCTGCATTATGTGTTGGGGGCTAAACTTTTGCAGCAGGGTGCCTGCTGTATTCAAATTGGCTCCTTATGTGTTTTGAAACCCCAACCAAGCCCAGACATGCTTTGGCACTTGCTACTGTTATGTGCCTCTGCTGCTTGTTTGTGTGGCTCTGTCCATTCTTTTGAAACGCATGGGATGCCTTTGCAGAAATTTGTACACAAGGAAGTGCTGTGTGTGAGAGAGAGAGTACTGAAAATTAGCAATCGAATCAATGTTTACTTGTTAGGAAAACCAACAAAAAAATATATTGTAGCATCTCAATTTATTTTAGTATAAGCCTTCATGCATCTGATGAAATACACTCCAGTACGCACACTTATATGCCATAACCAATGTGTCAGCCTTTGAGGTGGGATAAGGAACCCAGGACCCTCCAGATGCTGTTGAAGAACAGTTCCCACCAACCCTGAACATGGGGCAGATGGGATTTGGAGACCCACAACATCTGGATGATTGCAGCATATTCCATGTGTTTGCTTCAAGGGATCCTTCCACTTACAAAATACCAATGTAGCTACATCTCTGGAACTTGCTACTTGGAAATAGGACCCAATGGATCTTGTATTCACTGAGTGCAAGCCTCACACTCTCAAATAAGTGTGTGTTTAGGATTGCAGCTTATAATTCTTTTATTATTATTATTATATATTGTAGCTAATCTGTTTCTGTGGCTTTTTGTATTAGAAAATCAATGGAGCAACAAACTTTTAAGATGGGATGGGCATTGATAACGCTGATGAAATGTTGGACTTGATTTTGTCCAGCAGTGGTTCATCTTTTATTGCATCAAATGCAGACCTTTCCTCAAAGCCGGCAACAATGAAAAGCTGTTTCTGCACATGAAATGCATCCCCTCTGAGAACCTCTCTTCCACTTCTTCTCCCTACCCCGCTACCACAGAAAATAGGTTTCTCTTATTTCCAAGTGTGCCTCACTAATCATGTGGTGAGTGATTTCATTTCTGGCAGCACTTATTTGGAAGATGAGGGAAAGGAGGGTAACTGAATCTCCTTCTTGGCAATTTGCGCTGTCAGAAATTGCAGTGCCAAGCATCTATCTGGCTTGGAGAGGTACAACCCACTTCACCACACAAGCTTTTTGGGATCAAGTGTGCTGCTTCTGTATCCCGCCCCGCCCCCCGTTATTGCCTTTCATTGTTGAAAAACAATATCTGAATTTGATCATTTTCTGTGGGTTTGAAAAAGAAAACATTCAGTGCAATGGCAATGTCAGACAATTGGAATGCTTTGTCTGGCTTCTGATGGTGAGACGTGAATGCAGTTGGAGAAGGCATCTTCTGTTGGGATACTGCCAGGGAAACACAGTCCATCATGGCCCCCAAGCCGCCTCTGGACGTCCGTCGATCTCCCGTAGACACGCAGTATCAGCAATTAGCGACATGAGCTCCAGAAATAGCCTGCCACATTCTAGAGCCAATGCACGCTCTATCAGCAGATAATGCACAGCAAAAGTTGCACGCAGGAGAGCATTATTTACAAGTTTTATTCAGCGTTGATCAGAACAAAGAAAAACATGACTGCCTGCTTCAGTGTCTCTGACACACAGAGAGCGAAAACAAAGACACAACAGAAACATCCTGTGAAACAGGAAATACGCAGGCTGTGTGACTCAGAAAGCCTGCTCCCTTTTAAGGTGGAATGAAAATATCCTAACATCTTCTGCCTAAAAGATGGCCTCATACTCTACTGATCTTGGCATTCTGTTGAAGAGGGTCTCCTACATAAAGCATCTCGGTTCTGCACTGTACAGGAATTGGGCCTTAAGTGTGACACCTACCGTTTGGAACTTCATCCTGTTATATATCAGACAGGCCCCATCTCTGTTGCTCTTTTGGCATCTATTGAAGACCTTCCTTTTCCATCAAGCCTCTTAAATAGAAATCTTTATCCTAGTTTGCATCTGCTGTACTGGATTTGAATTTTTTTATTCATATAGAATCATTTTCAAATGCCAAAGTTTTTTGTTTTTTTACCATGAAATCGCTTTAAGGTATTTTATGGAGGGAAACCTCTCAGATCCACGCTTTCTAGACACAGGACAAGCAGAAGTGTGGACAAGCCCTTAAATGGAATCAAATAAAGCATCCCTTCATTTCCATGCTGGTAGAATACACATTTGAAGTTCTAGAATTGTAGGTGCCTGTTCTTTCACCGAATAAAATTAGTTTTGCTGGAGTTATAAGTCCTTGCTCATTACTTCTTTGGAAGTGTGAAGGAAATAAAGCAACCCTTCTTGGGAATGTAAGGCTGGAAGTTTTCCATCTTAACTTGTTGACACCTGTCTGGCGACTTCACATTTTTTGTGCCTACTTCTAAACTGCTTAATACAGTATTGACATTTGTTTAGCCGACTCTTGTTATCTATCTGCTGATTCTGCTTTCGGGCTAAGCTGCTGAATAAATTTGCTCCGACGTGCAGAAATGCTAGTCCTGTGTTCCCTACCAGTTGATGAGCTAATTGTCTCTGTTGAAAGGGGGAGTGTAAGCTCTGCTTGTGAACCAGCTGACAAATAACATATTTCAGAGGTTACTGCATTTTGCTTTGTCCATTGGCATTAATGCATTCACCGAGCTGAGCTTTCCCCATTTACATTCAAAATGTGTGTGTATGTGTATGTGTGTGTGTAGCAATTAGCAAGTGCAAATCTCTCCCCCCACCCCTTCCTATATTAGAAGTTTGGAATGGTGCACTTCAGTTTTATTCTTTTGGTCACTTTAAAGGCACTGGAACAAAAAGTGCACTCTGTATATTAATTACTTGTATATGAATGTTAATGTGGATTAACTAGGCACTTGCCAGTGTGGAGCAGTGAGAGACAGTGTGGTGTAGTGGTTAAGAGCAGTATGGTGTAGTGGTTAAGAGCGGTAGTCTCGTAATCTGGTGAACCGCGTTCGCGTCTCCGCTCCTCCACTCTTCCACATGCAGCTGCTGGGTGACCTTGGGCCAGTCACACTTCTTTGAAGTCTCTCAGCCCCACTCACCTCACAGAGTGTTTGTTGTGGGGGAGGAAGGGAAAGGAGAATGTTAGCCGGTTTGAGACTCCTTAGGGTAGTGATAAAGCGGGATATCAAATCCAAACTCCTCTTCTTCTTCTTCTTCTTCTTCTTCTTCTTCTTCTTCTTCTTCCAGCTGACCTGCAAGTATTTGGCTTGCTAGTTTGACACAGGATATGCAGTCTAGTGTCTCATGGTCCCATTGACTTTCATGCCTCCTTGATACCTTCTGCCAAAGTTGACCAGTCATCAGAGCTGTTGTGCCTCTCTGTTCCCATCCTGCCAAGAACATAGTCCTGCACAAGAGTTTCCCCTAGCCCATCTTTCCCACTAATCCACCAGATGGGTGGGGTATAAATAAAATTATTATTATTATTATTATTATTATTATTATTATTATTTCTCGTCTCTTTAGACTCATTTGTCCTGAGGCCCTTTCCTGCCACTGCATATAAACAGCAGATTATTTTCCTCATCTCCCTGCTATATGTTCTCTATATTTCATCCCCATGGCCTATGTCTTCCCTTTATTTCAGCTACGCTTCCTCTAGGGTATCTCTCAGTCTTCCATGCATCCTGGATTGAGAGTACAGTATACGCCATCAAATTTGAAACAACAAAATGCACTCCTTTCATGGGGTGTATACACACTACCCACACTAGCAGGAAAATGTAGCTTTTTTCACTTCCCTGTGTCTACAGGTAGTGGAGTAGACTTGCATAGCCACCTTTATTAAAATACGATGATGTATACACAGCATATGCTTGTAGTTTTTGAAGCAACCCTGAGCTCCCTTACGTTCCTATCCTAATCCTCTCTTTTACTTGGTCAGCATTGCTGGTTCTTGACTACATCTCTCCTCCTGGTGCTGAGATTGACAATCTGTTCCTGGTAGATAGATGTATATAATATGTGTAACACGATGCACAGTGAAAAACACATGTCATTGTTGTAAATGCAGTAGTGTATCTCCTGTGAGGTTTTGCTTCCTAGCCAAAGTTTCCTTCGCAGAAGTTGTACTTCTTCACAACAGTCTGTCAATGAACTTTTCCCCTTCCAGCAATTAGAACATTTTGCAAACAACCCAGGCAAAGATTGTAGTTGATAGTTAAAATGATATTAAAAGTGGCTATTATGTGTCACTGTCTCAGTTAACTCCACAATTCTACAGTTCTATGATTTTATGAAGTAGTGTGGTAACCCACTATTTTAGGAAATACTGGACTACAGGATAACACTTATTAAATATAATTGTGCTAACAAGTGAAAAAAGGGATTGTATGAGTATGTGTATTATTATTGTGTATGCATTTAATTATATATAATTAACTGCATACATGTAATACAATATAATCTCCCCCCCCCCACTTGTTAACATAATTACATTTAATAAGAGTTGTCTTCTAGTCAAGCAAATCCATGGTCTGTAGACCTTTTTTTTTTGGCTAAGATTACATGTTTGAGCATAGAAAAATGTAATTTTCACAAAACAGAATGTTAGGTTAAAGGAATTAATGTTGAGTATACTCAACATTCTGGATGTCATCCGGTGAACCTGCATTTTTTGAAATTGAGGAAATACACTTCTGCTGTATTTTTGAGGAGGACTAATGCGCCTGTTATCTTGCAAGCAAAACACAAACTCATACCAGTGATTCTAGATGTGAACAATATAATGTATATGTATAACATTACAATAACTCCTAGGCTGCATTGTTATGCTCATGGGACTAAATGCAATTTACATCTGAGTAAGCAAATACTGGTATATGTTGCCATTTATTGTAGCTGTAGCAGGAACCCCCCACCCCAATCATTCAGTTTGTACAAACTTCACACACTCACACTCACACACTACATATGCCACACTTCTGTTATAAATTCATAGAAAAATCAACCATACATCGGATTTGCACTGTTCCATTTTTATTTTACTCCATATGACAAGGACTATCAAAGGGGGGTGGCTTGGTTCTGGTCAGCCATAATCCCTTCACCATCCCAGCACATCCACAGGAGCCCTGCCCAGTTGCTATGCCAACCCTGATGGTCCTAGACAGAAGACCATCAAGATCACAAAGAACTTGCATATGGGAGTGGATTCAGCATGGACTGAAACAAAGGACAATGATCAGATCTTCCCTCTGGGGGCAGGAAACTGCCAACTCCCCTTTGTCTCCTGGAGGTGACTCTGGGCAGGGGGAAAGGACGAACCAGCCAGGTGACAGGACACTCAGGTTACCACCACAACTCCTCCCTCAACCCCTCCTTTCTGTAATGTATGCATGATGTTTCTGGGGGTGGGCTTGACCTAGAGGATGGGAATTTCAAAAGTTTTTATAAGGTCTTGCACACCATCTTTCTGTGTCTTTCCTCTCTCCTGCAAGTGAGGGGAACACCCTGTTGCAACAGTTCAATAAAGGCCAAGCCTACAGGCTGCTGTTTTGCTCCAAGTTATCCTGGTTGGTGTCTTTGTTTTTGTCCAAGGGAGCCCTCGGATTTTTCCGGTAACATAGCGCACTATATTGTGCTTCTATCTTTGCCATTTTTCAGACTGGAGATACGAGTGAAAAACACTCACCAGATTGTGCTCTATGGATTACTTGCTGTGAACAACCCATCTGTAAATCTCCATTTTCTGTCTTCTGAACAGTCATTAACAATGTATGTGCATACAGACATGTCCTTCATGAATTGCCATTACTAAATACATTTCCCACTTACAACAGCCAGCAACAGCAACAGCAAAGATGTAAAAGGCGCATAACAGGCATTAAGAGAGCCTGAATGCTATTTTTTTTAAGAGGCAAAAGGATTGCACCGTGTTATAAGGACTAGACAGATTGTGCCAGCTTGATTAGAGGGCAGTGCATCAAACAGCGATCTTTGCAAAAATTAACCTCCCACTGCTGGGGGTTTTTTTTATGTTTAAAAACTGGAGAGCATATTGCATGATAACATTCTCTCATCTCCCCACGCCCCAAATGTGTGGCACATTAGAAGTTAATTGAACATCTGCCTGAAGAAGCCAGCAGCTCTCCTGTGATGTACATAATGATGCGGTTGCCATGGCAAATAGCCACCGAATCACTGATTTTCGCCTTTCTCAGGCCCCCAGCGGGGCTTCTTAACGGAGTATTGCTCAGATGATCCCAGCATATGTCTTAGCTGAGTCAATGGCCTGCTGGAGAAATGGTTTTTATTGACTGTTGCCTAATTTCGCTCCATAACATCAACCCTTTCCCTTGAATTCAAGTTTAATTATTTGTAAGGAAACAAGAGAACCTGCCCTTTTCTGTTGAGGTGTCAACAGAGGCAAATTGGTAGCTTCATGTAACCCTAGAAAGCTAGAAAGCGATGACAAGGCCACTTAACCCACCCTGCGCTTTAAGAGTAATCCAGAATAAAATTGCTTTGGAGTGAATTTTGTGCAACCTATTGCGACCAGGAATTCTATAGGTTCACAGAATAGTAAGATATTCAGGCATAGCCCATTGGAAACGTTCTTCAGTTTCCAGTGAGGGGCTTCAATGCAAATATGAAAATTGGACATCTTCCAAAAAAAAAAATATCTAATTTCAGTCAGTTTAGCAATGAAGAAAGCTCTTATATATCAAACACATTGTTGGCATCCATCTCTCTCAAGAGACAATGGAGTGTGCATCTGGGGGTGAAGTCAAATGGCTGCTTTAGCAGCACGCAAGGTTGCATGGGGTGCAAGGTCCCGGGCTGCCCAGATAAGAAGACCCACTCTTAGCCTTTCTGCTGTGGTCCAAAGGAAGGCACCAGCTTGGCTGCTGGAGTTGCCGGAAGGAGGCGTACAAGGTGCCTTCCAATCATCTTAGCGATTCAACTCTGGATTTGTTTAGTGTTTACCCCTTTGCCTTTTCTCAGGGAGATACTCTTTTTTATCATAACAGTTGTAATCCTCTCAAGTCAGTTTAGAGGTGGCAGGCTTGGGGATTTCTGTCTTTCTCCTCATCACAGCCCTGCAAGGAAGGCCAAACTGAGAGGCAGAGGCTGAAGATCACGCATCATGAATCCACATTCAGATAGCAAAGATGCCTTGTGTTGCTTCCTTCAGTTCGGCAGTGACGGAAGCTGTACTCTTCTCTTTTATCAAAGCATATTAAGGCCCAGGCAAGATGCTGGTTGCGTTATCTGGCATTTAGACAGGATAAGGTGAACAGCTTACTATGCTCTAGTGATTTATTCCCTGAGGGAACCAGCAGAAACAAAAAACTAGAAAGCAGGCACAGCCAGTTAATAAGACACCCATGGCTGCGTCAAGCACGTCTGCCTGCCTTATGTAATGAGGTTGCAGACAGAGAGTCCCGAGTGCTGACAGTATACTGAACTAAATACCAAATACCATTCGTTCATATCTTGAGTCTGAGTGTGGCTCCATCTTGTCTGCCTCTCTTCACCCCTAGCTACATCAAGTGGAAGTGTATGGTGATCTACTCATTGTTCAGGTAGGTTAGCTAAGCCGTACTGGCTGGCGCTAATGGGCGCTGTAGTCCAAAGTATTTTCAAGGCATGATGAACGTGTCTTCAAGGCACCAGGCTGATGGGTTAGTCCTGTTCAGTGCCTTCAGTGCTTCCCTTGTTGTCACATGGCTTAGGTCAGCTCCTTTGAATTTGGATGTATCAGGGAGACTTTTCTGCTTGTATCTAAACCTGCCCATTGATTCAGAGAATAAAAAACCTGTGGGGGAAAATAGAATTTAAAATTGGCCATAGGAATGAAAAGCTGCATCCTTGGGTTCAATAGTTGCACTTAAGAGACCTGCATCGACAAGAACATTTTTTGCCTCCCAGTTCTACCATCATGGGGTTGTGATTGGGGGGGGGGGGAATGCAGGAAATCCATCACACTTAAAAGCCCTGTTGCTAGAAATCAATTGTACTGCATGTCTTCAAAGTAACTTTATCCCACTAACTTGGTTTGCATAGTGTCTTAGCAAACAATTAATTTGCATCCTGATTTTGTTTTGTTCCCCCTGCCCCCCCCCCATCCCAGATAAAGAAGAGGCAGCAAGACATTGTACGATTTCTGGAAGCCAACAAGATCAACTTTGAAGAGGTGGATATCACCATGTCGGAGGAGCAAAGGCGATGGATGTATAAAAACATTCCTCAAGACAAACAGCCTGCACAAGGCAACCCGCTCCCACCCCAGATTTTCAATGATGATCAGTACTGTGGAGTAAGTAACTTTTGAAGCTTCTATCTTTCTCACCTGTGTTAGCTTTGGCCATCCTCATCTTTGTGAACTGCATAAGCACCACTGGTTTTTCCTGACAACTCAAAAATCGAGAGAATGACCATAGTGGTACTTGTTGTTGTTCCCATCCTGCATTGGTAGATAGCATGGCAATGAGGAATACCCTATGCAGAATGGTCAGGGTTAATGCTCAACTTTTGATCTGTTTTTTGGTATTTCCTACACTAACAATTCTGTATTTGGATCCTAAATGCTTGATCGTCTTTGTGTTGGAGCCATGCGCATGCTGCTTTGGGAAATTTCTAGGGCAGATTATTGACTCATTCCATTATTCAGTATCATCATTAAAAAGTCATTAAAAAGAATATTAAAATTGTTATTTCTAGTACCAGGGTTGTTTTTCTTCTGTATCCAAAAGGTTTGGGTTACTTTCTAGCCTATTGCTTATTGTAGGCAAAGGCAAACTCGGCCTTCCAGATGTTTTGGGACTACAACTCCCATGATCCCTAGCTAACAGGACCAGTGGTCAGGGATGATGGGAATTGTAGTCCCAAAACATCTGGAGGGCCGAGTTCGCCTATGCCTGGCTTATTGGCGACATGTTAGTTTTAATTCCTAAGCAAGTTCTTTTTGAAGGCTTTTTCATACAAAATTTGTCAGTGAAATTCTACTCAGTATTGATCCAGAGCAGATTCCAGTGTATAGTTAGCAGAGTAAAAACTTCCAGAACCCTCTTGAATAAAATAGAATAGGAAAGATCTCTACACATCAGATCAATACTTTCTGCACTAAGAAATGCCAACTGACAAAATTGTGGTCCTGAAGTGGTTTCGTTCTGCAAATGTTTTAACACTTACCTTGTAAGATCAGACACATGTAACCTCTTTGCTGATAATGACTTCATTATCCCGCTCACAAGGACTTGGCAGTAACTGGGCTATGGGATGTGTATTTGAACAGAAGACTCATCTGACCCTGCAGTTCATCCTTAGATGAAAGGATTGTGGACTCAAGGAGATCCAGCACTCAAATGCAAAAAAGTGCACAAATCACTCATTATGACACACACACTCTCCCTCTCTCTCTCTCTCTGTGTGTGTGTGTGTGTGTGTGTGTGTGTGTTTTGGGGTGCGGTTGGGGAAGGACAGGATTATTGAAAAGATCTTAAGGCCTAACCTTCAAAGCATGACCAAAACCATTCATGTGTGTGTGTGTTAGCTGGGTTCGCTGTTGTTGTTATTGGGGGTTGGAGCTAATCTTACTAGTGTTTGTGCAGTAATTGCTGTGTCCCCATTGGATTATGATTGATCGGCAGAGTTGACCCCAGGCTTGTGGGGCATGCCTAAACACCCACCATCCTTGGACTGAGCCAACATCTGGAAATACCCTTGCACTATTATTTAATGCCAACATAATGGGACGATTCTGTTAATATATCTGAGTTCCCAGCATCTGCTTTAATCTCGTTCTAGTTGCTTGATTGTGCTGTCTTTGCAATTAAGTGTAATGAGCACCTGAGCTTTGAAAATTGATACCGTATTTTTCGGACTATAAGACGCACTTTTTCCCCTCCAAAAATGAAGGGGAAATGTGTGTGCGTCCTATGGAGCGAATGCAGACTCCTTGGCTTCAGCGATAGCAATGCGAAGCCTCCGAAGCCTGCGCTCCGGAGGCTTCGCGTTGCTTCCGCTGAAGCCAGGAGAGTCTGCTCTTTGAGGCTGGCGGTGGGGGAAAGCAGCGCTTCCCCCATCACCAGACCCAGAGGATGGGGGGCAGCGGGAAGGCGCGCGACGCCTTGCCGCTACACTCCAACCCGGCTCGAGGCTGGCGGTGGGGAAGCAGCGCTTCCCCATCGCCAGCCCCAGAGGATGGGGGCAGCGGGAAGGCGCGCGACGCCTTGCCGCTACCCTCCAACCCGGCTCGAGGCTGGCGGTGGGGAAAGCAGCGCTTCCCCATCGCCAGCCCCAGAGGATGGGGGCAGCGGGAAGGCGCGCGACGCGTTGCCGCTACCCTCCAACCCGGCTTCGAGGCTGGCGGTAGGGAAAGCAGCGCTTCCCCCATCGCCAGCCCCAGAGGATTGGGGGCAGCGGGAAGGCGTGCGACGCCCTCCCGCTACTCTCCAACCCTCCTTTGGGCTTTTGCGGGAGATGGGGGAATTCCCCCACCTCCCGCAAAAGCAGGCAAAAGCCGCGCGCTCTTTAAAGGGGCTCCGCGGCTTTTCTAGGAGCCCGCAGGAGCCGCACACCCTTTAAAGAGCAAGCGGCTCTTGGGGGCTTTTCCCCAAGGAGGGAGAAGGGACTGACTGGCCGAGTCAGTCCCTTCTCCCTCCTGCGGGCTTTTGGGGGAGATGGGGGAATTCCCCCACCTGCAAAAGCCCGCAAAAGCCTCGTGCTCTTTAAAGGGGCTCCGCGGCTCCTGCTGGCTTTTCTACGAGGGGGGGAAATACCCCACCACCTAGAAAAGCCTGCAGGAGCCGCGCACCCTTTAAAGAGCGCGCCGCTCTTGGGGGCTTTTCCCCGAGGAGGGAGAAGGGACTGACTGGCCGTTTCAGTCCCTTCTCCCTCCTGGTCGAAAAGCCCGCAGGAGTCTCGCGGGGCTCCTGTGGGCTTTTGCGGGAGGTGGGGGAATTCCGCCACCTCCCGCAAAAGCAGGAAGAAGCTCTGGCAGCAGCGGACAGGCTGCACGCAGCCTGTCTGCTGCTCCCAGAGCTGCGGGGGGGAAATCATATTTTTTCCCTTGATTTCCCCCCCTGAAAACTAGGTGCGTCCTATGGGCCGGTGCGTCCTATAGTCCGAAAAATACGGTAATTGAAAACGGGAGCTTCAGTCTTGTGATGGTGGGGTCATGAGTGATCTAAATCTGATTTACAAAGTATTATTGGTGGTTCTGACCGTCCTTGGAAAGCAGCCAAGCTCTGCCCTTTCTTGTTTTATATTCAGTGCAGTCTGTGCTTGACAACCTGTTATCCATTTCTGCAACTATGGGAGCTTTCTTTGCCTTTCTGTATGTTTTCAGATGTTGTGGAGAAGGGTGAAGCAAACCTCTTTGCATATTTTCTCATGGTTGAGCAAGGACCCTGAAGATGGGTTTTTGCTGAAGATTTTTCTGCAGATATAAGAGTTAAAAAGAACACCCTGTGTTCATCATTTTGCCTCTTCATTTCTCCCTGTGCATCATCATCAGTATCAATTTTGATTTATCACCTGCTTTTCATCCTAGGGCGCCAGGGAGGGTCACAACAATTTAAAATACAACATTAAAAACAAATTACATAATTACAGTGTGTGCGTGATTAAAAGAGAGAGACATAAAATCATGCTCTGATGCATGCTTTGAACACTGAGCTCAAAGGTGATAGTTTTACCTTTTAAAGCTTGTCACTGTTCTATGTATTTATGCAGATCCTGCACACACACACATACACACACACACACACACACACACAAAATCTGCAAGGCATGATTGATAAATCCTTTCAAAGTGGCTTAATGATCTGTCTCTTCTGGCAGACAGCCATGGTAATTTAGTTCATGCAAGGAGATGCAAAACTATACTTCATTTATCAGGGATGCTTCCTGGGTGACATTTTAAAGACAGCAGGTGTACTCTCAAGTCACCCGCAAATGTGTGTAAATGTGATGTGAAAATGAAAACACTCAGCACAATAAGCTGGGTTTCTCTATTAGGTGAGGACCAGAATTCTGCTCTTGAAACTGCCAAGGAAGGAACTGTTGCTTCAGTAGGGATGCTGTTATACCTGAATGCTCATTCATGGATGTTCCTGTGGTAGTTCTTGCATATGGACCTATGGCCTGCCAGATACTGCTGGGCTGCAATACAACTCCCATCATCCTTGGCCATGCTGGGTGCAGCTGATGGGAGCTGGAGTCTAGTAACACCTGGAGGACCACAGGTCCCCCCACCACTTATGGTAGGTAAGTCAGTAGGTCCAACTCTCAAATTGCAAAGGGGGGACAGAGAAGATGGACAAGGGAACTGAGGCTGAAAGCAGTTTGCCTAAGGCAAACCAGTGAGTTCATGGCAGAAGTAAGATTGAAAGCCAGAGAGTTTCTGATTTTTGTAGCTCAGTCTCTCATCCACTTTGCCATATCAGCACAGCTAAATGCTTCCTCAGCTAAATCCTGGGATTTGATGGAATCTCCCCTTTGTGCAATCATTTTAATTAAAAGGAAGCCTTCTTGTTTTGATGCTGTGCAGTGATAACAGGATCTAAGTACAACTTTTCCATCCTGATATTTTGGGATCTTGGCTTCCACTTATTAATTTCAGGCAAACTTTGTGTATAGCTCAAAATGAAGCTGGACAACACCTGCATGGTTCTGCCTAAAGGTGTTTGGCCCATTCGTTATGCGTTGGTGGGATCCCTGTGTGCTGGGGCTTGTAGAATTTGGGTCCATCAAAGACAGCTATCTTACTTGCCAAACCCCACCATCCTACTTATTGGAGTTGTAGGCAGGTAGGGTTGAGAACAGAATGAGGACAGTTCTTAGGACATGAATCTCTTCATAGAATCATAGAGTCGGAAAGAACCACCCCATGCAATGCAGGAATCTTTTGCCCAATATGGGGCAAATCCTTGACACGGGAATAGTCTCATTCTCATCCCCCCTATTTACATAAAAAACAAATCAGGATTTTTCATATTCCCAACAAATACTTACAAAAACCTTTGAGAGTTTTTGTGAATACTCAAAAAGAACGCTTGCAAAACACTCGAGTTTCTTCCCAAGGCCGTTGGTGTCAGTTTTTAGAATCAAAACCATTGGGGCATCATTAATTAAAAAGCAAACAAGCACCCTTGCCTGTTGGGGATCCCTTCATCACATTATTTTGTGTGTAATGTGATGCTTGCTTGGATAGAATAAAGAGAAATCAACCTTCTTTACAAAATGGTTTCCTTTCATGTAAGAGATAGTGGTGGTGTGTGCATGTTGGATACTTGTTAAGACCAGCTTTTGTGTAGGAATATCTTATTGGAGGTATTAGAAGTTCACTTAACATTCACTTGAAGGAGGGGCCCTGTTGAGGATATGTTACCCCCGCTGCAACCCCCCACCCAGCCCCTGGCAACAGTGCTGATGGAATGAAGTGGTTGGAATCTTCCAACAGCAGCATCAAAAATATTTTTCAGTCCATGAGCCATATGCCTTCATGGGCCACCTTCCAGGAGCATGCTAGTGGTGGCCAGAGCAGTGGATGTGGCAATGCCATGAACAAGTCAGAGGTTTCTACACAAACATGCATATCTCCATCCTCCAGCCAAATAAATGAGGTAAATTATCACAGTCGAAGGACACATTCCAGCCAAAGAAGAAACACTTGCAGGGAGGGCCTGGAGCAAGTTCATTGAGGTGGTTGACCTACCATGAGTTCTAAGGTTCCACTGCAGCGTTCTGCTGTTGATCCTGTTAACTAGTCACTTGCCTGAAGATTTTCAACAGTTAAGTGAATGTGCTTGATTACTGTAGATCCTATAAATTGACAGTACAATCCCCAAAGAATATGAATATATTAAACTATGTGAGGCCTTTTTCTTCAGGGAAGTTTACAGCAGAATATCTTGCTTTCCTTTTAGATGTGTGGAACACAAATTGCTTCTTGTTGACTGGACTCCAGTGAATTTTGCCTCTGTTGCCTTTTGGAATTCAGATGCCAGCCTGAGCCAAAGCTCATCAAACTTAGCCAGAGTTTCCTACCATATTACCCCCTGTTCATATGCTGTGTCTTGCAAGTAGAGTGGCACAGCTGTTTGGTCATTATGTGTGCAGGTTGCATTTCCTTGGCAAATTGTATAATGCTACTGCAGTGAATACTTCTTGAGCTCCCGGGGAGAAGCTAAACACATTCTCAAACTAATTTGCATGCTTTTAATGTAATTAGCAAAATAACTTGCATGCCCTTTCCATTTGTGCTGCAGGTGGTACATCTAATTTGGTGGGCATATTTCACTTAATCTCATTTCCTTCAGGAGATGGTCTGAGAGCACATGATACAGCCACTTTGCAGAAGCTAAGCAGGGCTGGGTCTGGTCAGTGCCTGAATGGGAGACTTAGAAACCTCTTGTACAGCACCTTGAGTTCCATCATGGAAGAAAGGTGGGATAGAAATGTGTGCAAATACATTACCAGTTCCATGTGCAAAATGCTTAAGTCAGCGCTAGGAAAAAGTACCTGGAAAAACTATTCGAATTTGGCAGACATAATGAACTTAACTGGCTTCCATTTTTCCAAACGGTTTAATACTTTCTCTTGCTTTAATATACCGTATATCTACAAATGTGATATTTTTACTTCTTTATGTAAAATCCAAATAGAAAAAGTGTGGATTCTAACAAGGCATGCACAAAAGTGTTGACTGAGATCTGTTGAGAGGGTTGATTGGTAATCCTAAACATGCTACTTTGCATTTATATGAGCTTTGGATACATTATGCCCTTAATTCTTACAACAATCTTGTAAAGCAGATCAATGTTATTCCTTTATTGCAGAGAAGAGGCTGAAAGTAGGTTAATTTAAGGGCAAGCTTCATATGCAGAAGGCTCCCTTGCAATATGGTGCAAGAGTAGAGAAAATTTGTGGGACGGAATTAACCCTTTTCCTACCAGATGGTTCTTGCCAGGTCATTTTTAAACACTGTGTGCATGTATACAGCTGCATTCCAAAAGCAGAAGCAAGGTGGGAAATGACCTCTGGGACATTTGTAGGTGAGAAGAGTTGGGTGCAGGATTTTCAGACTTTTCTCTAGCATGTACCTCTTTTCTCCACCACCCCACATTCATGTTATTTCAGCAAAAAACAAAAACAAAAAAAACCAAGTTTGAAACATATACCAGTAGCTCCATCCTAAAGCAAGGTTGTGGCCAAAGCAAGGTCTGAACAGGGGTTTCTTAAGTAAATGCAGGTTGCACCACCATTAAAGTGTCCCAGATTTTGGAACAGCTTCTCCAGCGTTGTATGCTCAGTCCTCTTACTGCCCAATTTTAGACATGTCGTGAGCTGGTCTTAGGTACAAATAGGGTTTCCTGAAAAAGGAGGATTGATGAGTAGCTGCAGGATGGAATTTTTAGCCCAAGTAGTTTTCACATGATCAGTAGTGAATGACGTGTCTTTTGTTTCTTTAAGCTTTTAACAACAAAGCCCCTATTCAGGCCATAAGGCTCTTAGCAGAATGCTAAAGCAATAGGTTGCAAACAAAACTGAAGGGTGACGTTTAAACACACACAGAGGTTTGTCAAAATATCAACTCCCGAAAGCAGTGCAGAGAGAGCTTTCATTTGTAATCCCACAGAATCTAATTGCTCCTTAAAGCCAGGAATCTGGCCTTTATTGTCATTGAGACAGTGATATTAATTCTTTAAGAAGTCAAGGGGTTTGCTAGCTGGCTCTGAATAAATTTATTGATATTCCTGTAAGGAAAAAAATTAATCAGCTATCCCTTGCCCATTTTTGGGGGCGGGGGGCAAGATATGAGGTAAACCTGCTATTGATTTATTGAACTTTTGTTTAGAAACCTGCCTTAGGAACAGGTGGCTCTTAGCTATACATTTTGGTGCCGCCTCAAGTTACGTTGCAATCTTGTACAAACTTGCCGGCCTGGGAGTAATCCCCATTTAACTCAGTGGGGCCTACTTTTGAGTAGGCGTGCATAGGACTGAACTGTCAGGTTGTTTGCTTTCTTCTTGTTATTTTTTAAAAAACTATTTAACATTTAGGCAATTTAACCAGAAATTGCAGCCTCTACTCCTTTTTTCACGTGAAACTTGAAACTAAGCCAATAGCTGAGAAAGCTGCAGAACCTGTTTCTGGGAAGTAGGCCTGAACTGTGTGTAGGCTGTTTGGTGAAATGCCAGAGCTGTTTGCTTCTTACAATGAACATATGTAGTTATATTACTGTGAATTATTAATCATTATCTCCGCTTCCACTCAGGGCAGTATGCTCGATGAACCAATGATCTTATTGAGTTCATCTGATAAACAGCTCTTTATGCTCCTTTGAATTGCTTTGATGGTGCTGATCATCAAGTGGAATGTGGCCTGGGTTTAACTAAATTTATTCTCTCTGCCTCCCTCCCTCTCTCTCCTTTTTCCATATCAATTACAAAGCAGGAGCGAGAACACACATTCTCAAATGATGGGTAAACTGGAATTATCCTTCCATTACTATAATAAAGTTACTCCTTTATATATCAGTAAGCATAATTATACTGCATCTCTGATACAATATCAGTGGGATGAAGTTCTAAAAATAACTTACCTTCCCCCCCCCTTCTCTCTAGGATTATGACTCATTTTTTGAAGCCAAGGAAAGCAACACCGTCTTTACGTTTCTTGGGTTGAAACCTAATTTGGCATCAAAGGTGAATATTTCATGATATGAGGCTTAATGAGATTCAACTTGTAGTTTTCAATGTATATTTTCTTTCTGGAATAGATGGCGTGTTCTTTGATTTGAAAAATGAATAAAGGGGTATGGGATATTTTTGGCAACATCTTAGCTTGAACCTAAAATAAGCACAATTGGTTATTTTTTCATAATTTATAAACACTTAAAGTCACAATGTACTCAGTTAAATCCAAGTAGCACAATTGATTTTTTAATTCAGCTATTTTTAAATTTCTTTTCAAGTTTAGGGTTTGATACTAATAAAATATCAAAGAAATTCATTGAAACACGTGTATCTCCTACTGTGTTGCAAACTTACTGGATTTCCTGGGAATATTGCCAAACCAGGTCACAGTTTGCTTTGTGTGTGACCTGGAGTCATAGCTGGTTCCTTTGGCGTCCTCTTAGTGAGCAGATAAAGCTTGGAGCCTATTCCTATGAGGCACCTTTCCGTTGCTCTCTTAACTTGTTTGGCCCTATTGACCATCAGTCCTCCATGCTATCTTTTTAAAAAATTGGGATTGGCATAGGGGCAATTGAGGCTCAGCTACACAAACTATGATATGTAAGCCCTATTCATGCATTTCCTCCTCTACCCACTGTTAATCACATGGAAGAGGAAACAGAGAGGATGACTGCAATTGCCCTGCTCCTTCTATCCCATTCCCAGTCATTCTCCATTAAATGGTGGGTGACCCTCTACACCACTGCTGGGGAGCCTGTGGCCGTGTACTACAATCCCCTTCATCCTGTTCCTTGGCCATGCATGCTGGGGTTGATGGGAGTTGTAGTTCAGCGACATCTGGAGGGCCAAAGCACGAGCCTGTTCTTCTCATGTAGGCTTCCCATGTGCTTTTGAAGGGTTCTAAAATGCACAGGGAGTCTGCATGAGCAGAGCAGGTGTTTCTCATTTTCTGTTTTCAACTCCTGCTGATAAAGTTTTCGTTTAACATGCTTATTTGTCATGTCATTGCTGCATTTTTTAAAAAAATGTATATTTCGATGCTTTATTATTTTAATGTTGTGTGTGGTTCGTTACTTTTGAGTAATTTTTGTAAGGTAAAATAAGTGTTTGACAGAAATAACTATATAATTGTTGGTTCTTTTTTTTTAAAAAAAAAAACAGGAGTCGGAGCCTTAGAACAAGTTCCTTGAGGATTCAGCAAGCACATTGTCTGGGTGAATGAAATTCTTGATGTCCAGCACACAACAGCTTCCGTAGTGGATCACTGTGATGCACACCAATATGCACCATTAATATTTTGTTTGACACTGAAAAGATGAAATAAGACAGTGGCTGCAAAAATGGGGTATATGGTGATGGTAAAATGGTAATGACGGGTGGGGGGTGTCCTTCCTTTTTCCCTTTTCTTTTTGCAAACATATCTGTGGTGGATGCTGGGTACCATTGACCCTAACAGTATCTGATGCCACATTTGAGACATTACTTCCATTCTGAAAGTGACAGGTGGGTGTGTTGAATCTGATTGTACAGTGAGCATTGTCAGAGTTTCAGATGTTTACTGCATTCTGAGCTGAGAGTTAATGGCAGGTGTAACCTGCTGTTCTTGAACACAGTTAAATGCTAAAGTCAGCAGCGTTGAGCTGCAAAGACACCACTCCAACAGAATATGTGCTAATTGTGCTATTTGTGCTGAAATGTGCTTATTGTGGTAGATGTGGCCTGGTATTACCTTTCTACTTGGAGGGGGCAGCGAATCAAATCTCACATCTCCCCTGGTTGGTATTCAGCAGCCAGTTCTTAAAACAACAGCCATCTTGCATGTACTTCATAGATTGCTCTGAGTTGCAACTTGATGGAAAAGAATTAGCTGGCAAGTATATTCTAAAATGAGAAGCTGACAAAATGGACCTTACCTCTTGATGAGAACACCAGGCATGTCTGCCATTTTGAGCTACATTACATGCATTTGCCAAAAAAATGTTTTGTATGAATTATAGATTTCCCCCCTACCTTACAAGCATTGATATTACTTAAAAACCCTATTGCTGTCAGTGAGATTAATTGTAGAACAAAGGTTAAAATCTGTAGTGTGCCATGTAATACAGTATAATCAGAGCCTGCAAAAGCATACAAGCCAGAACCTTAAGTAGATTAATAGTTCTATTGCCTTAAAAGTGGAAGGGTATTGGGGGGAGGGTTTCCTAAAGAAAGAAGCATTATATTTTTGCCTGTAAAATGTATCACTTTACATAATAGTGCTGGGTTGGACTAATGTGTTTAGCATCTTCCAGTTCAGAGTCCCAAATAGCTATACTTGGCAGTACGGATCGCCAATTCTGTGAATCTGTGCGGCATCTAAATGAAAAGTGTGGGACCAAACAATAGCAGCACAATCCTATGCATGTCTACTCAGAAGTGAGTTAAATAGGTGCATAGCATTGCAGCCTAGCTGGGTTTTAAAAGACCACTTATCAATTGAATATTTATTGTTTGAAGCGCAAGCACCCCCTGGAAAATATAGATGCTCTGATTTAAAGCTGGCATGAGGTGCACATAAGCCTGTCCCAGATCCAAGACAAAGTTCACAGTCAAGAGAAAGTTAATAATCTTACCAGTGGAAGAAGCTGGTTGTCTCTTGCTTGACTCTCGTTCATTTTAATGGGCATTTGAGCATGATGAAAGCCCTCTTCAGGCATTCATATTAAGCGTAAACATGTGACGGAAGGCTGCAACGATGAACCCACCCTGCCCAGTCACTGTTAGAGTGAATGTATGAAACAGCGAGCTTCCTGTTAGTTCCATGTGCCACAGCCTTGACTTTCTAGCTTTCTGAAATGTGTAAAAAGCTCCCAAAAGTACAGGAGAGTCCCTGTTCCATCTGTTTCTCCCTCTCCAACACACAGGGAGCTATGAGAACAGGATCAGAGCTAGTGCACTCATCCCTGCAGTCTGCCTCACCTGTTTACACAGGATACGAAGACCTGAATACGGCTTTACTAGCTTTGGACTGGGGCTAAAGGACTTCACATATTTGTTGTGGGAGCGAATATGTCACTTATCCCCCCATTTGCTAGGGCTTCCTTTTTAATTTTGATCAGGGCATGTTCCTTGTGTGCATATTGGATCCTCTGTATCAGGGCAATAGAATAGTTCAGGTGTTGGTCCTAAAAGTACTAAAGGAAAAGAGGAAGGTGCTATGGAATCTTTAATGATAAAATCACAGATGATTATAAAGCAGGCATAGGCAAACTCGGCCCTCCAGCTGTTTTGGGACTACAACTCCCATCATCCCTAGCTAACGGGACCAGTGGTCAGGGATGATGGGAGTTGTAGTCCCAAAACATCTGGAGGGCCAAGTTTGGGGATGCTTGTTATAAAGTATTGTATATGAGCCCTATTTTGTTACTCATAGCTCAGGGAAGTTTTGAAAGCAGTTTTGTTGTTGTTGGGGGCAGAACAAGTCTGCTCTTCTGGGACGTGTGGGGATGGCAGCTTAAAAATCCACTGTGCTCTATCCATTCCACCAGGAGCATGCAAGTCCTTGAGCAGCTCTTTGGAGTCTAGTTAATTTTAATTATAATGGCGTTTGCAATAAGCAGAAGGCACATCATTTAAGATGCCTTAATGGGTTTTATGTGGGGTATGTGGGTAGGGGGAGGGTATTCTTAGAATGCAAGAATAGTTCAAAAGGTGCCCTGTTTTCATGCCTTTATCAGCTCTATAAATTCACTGGTGAATGCTATTTGATTTTTAATTCAGAGTTTGGCTTTCATTTTTATATTAAAATTTTGTAAGGTGCTTGAGTTCTTTCTGTTTTATTTTCATTATATTGCAGCCTTCTGGTTTTCTTTTATGTAAAAGAACATTAGAATGCATTCCTTTCAGTTGGTGGTTAAAAACCCCACTAAACTCTCATTTATTTTTATCTCTTTCTTGTCCTGCCTGTTCTGTTGTTTCCCAGCCCCTCCTAGGATGTGCTCTTATCAGGAAAATTAATATGGAAAATTAATCTATCTCCATGGGAAATATTCCAATAGTTTGAGACTAGCTTTCATCTGCGTAAAAATACACCCTCCTCATGTGATCACCTGATATTATTAATTGTGATAAAAAGTATTTTTTTTCCATGCACAGTCACATCTGACAAAAAAAAAGTTGTGTTCATAAAAGTGGGCCACATCCTTTTAAAAGCATAAATCAGTGCAGCTCTGTTGGAGCAGCTAAAGTTATTTTCACTTAAAAGCATGCCAGACTCAAGAGTCATCACCATGTTTCATAAAGTTGGGATACACTATGATTTGGAAGAAAAGGAATTGACCGAATTATCAAATTCTGGACCAGCCAGTTTTGCTGCAAGGATTAGCTTTGCCTAAGGCGGGGGTGGCTAGTCCATGACCCTATGGAATTAGCCCCAGCCGCTATGGCCAGAAGTCAAGGATGCTGGAAATTGTATTCCCAACAGCAAAGCCACAGGTTCCTTATCTCTGGCATCAGATCTTAAGCAGATGTCCCTTTCCAGTTTCTATGTGGGATTAGCACTGATGGAGGGAAAGTGGGTCTCACTAATTCAGGTGTTCAACTCTACTTTTGAGCATAAAAGCTTGCTGGATCAGGTCAGTGTCTTATCTAGTCCAGCACCCTCTTCTCATAAGGGCCAATTGGATGCCTGTGGGAAGCCCAACAGCAGGACGTTAGCTTTCAGCATGTGAGAAGAGGGCAGAAGAGGGACAAGTGTGCTGACTCTGTCTTTGTCCCCATCCCACCCTGGTCCCCAGGGGGTAAGCTGAGAACCTTTCTCCTGTGCAATGTGGGACCCTGCTCATGGTGGTGAAGCCCTAAACATGTAAGCGATCATTGGAAGAGGGCGTGTGTTGGATTAGGATATATGACAGCTTCCCCGGTGTATGTTTTCTCTCATTGGGGAAGTGGAATGTCACTGTTTGCAGATCACACCCTTAGTTACTATTCAAAGCACTTGTGTCATGTAAAGCGCTGCATCAATTTACACTGGGAGAAGGGAGTTGTCCGTTTCTCTCCTTTCTCTGTTGTAGTTCACAAAATCCTTTTGCAATCCGTAAAAGCCATCAAAAAGCTAAAGCAGACCTGAGAGACTCTAAAACCTAGGCGTGGCTGTATGCCAAAGCAGTGAGAAGACCCATGTTACAAGCTGACCTTGGCTGCAACTAGTAGCTCAAGATGTTCTGCCCCTCCTCTTTCAATCCATCACCTTCTTTATCCATTTTCATTCTTTGCATGGGTCCCTCCCCCAATGTTCTTTTTCTGGAGGATATGGGGATGATTGACAGGACTCCATGATATTTGCCTCCATGTTGCAAAAGTGGCTACACACATTCCGAGAAGTATTAATTTTGACCAGGCCAGCTGTCGGCACAAATGACAAAGAAATTAATGTTTATTTCCAGTGTTTACATTTCATCTCTCAATGCAAGCCGCCTTTTGCCCCTGAGTGCAGGTACCAGAGGACAAGCTGGATGCTGGCGTGTATGACTTCCTTTTTCCTGTTACTGTTTCTGTGTGTGTTTTAAAGTGAAAACTGACAATTTGGAAACACAGCCGCTGCTACATGTATGTTTTTTGTGTTCAGGTATCTGCTTGAAAGCAAAGTGAGAAGCCATCCTTGTATGGAGTTACAGTTCTCCTTAGTTTCTTAAAAGCTCTGTTGACACATGCATGCTCATTATTCCATGAGTGCAGCACTCGGTGGTGACTTGCGTCTGTGAAAGAGCCGTTGTGTCACACGCAGAGCATTGATCTCACCCAACATCACTTCAAACACAATGTTGGGAGGTTTTTTCCCATGTAAGCACATTATATATTCAGCTGCAAGTAACCAAATGTTGAGTAACCAAGGTAATGTACATGAACAAGTCCTGCACAAATGGCTCCCATCCTTTCTCCTCTACGTTGTCTATGTTGCCAATGTTAGTCTTGTGCTTTTCTGATAAACCTTGTGTTGTAGAGGACCACCTATACATGCGCATGTAGCATTGTGGCACATCTGTTCAGGTATTTCACTGGCTGCTAGTTCAAGGGAGCAAACCAGATGTTTGGGAAAGGTCCTTTGGTTCGGCAAGTACAGTGCCGCAAGCCAGCCCTAATGTTAAACCATAGTGCCATAGTTTCTGCAGACACTGTAGCATGCATTTGCCCCATTAACGCTCTGTTGGCTGTGTGCATGACTTGGTGGGCCATTGCAGGTGTGTTCTTGAGGCATGTATGGCTCATAGAGCTCAGATCTACCGAACACATCAATTCTTAAAAACAACAAGGACACCTTAGGACATCTCATGGGAGCCTCCAAGGTGCCGAGCATGGTGCCTAATTGACAGTTGCTTGTCATGGGGAAGATCAGTGAGTGCAGCACCTCCTGTCCTGGTGCTGAACAGACAAGTGTGCACCTGCCAGATTTTGACTTCCTGCTCAGCTATTTGGCATATTGAACTCACTTAGAGCAAGAACTGGCAAACCTAGATCCGGCTCCTGTGTCTTCAATACCAGGCAGCAGGAAAAGATTCACTAACGGCCCTTGGAGTGATTGGAAGAAGCTGAGTGTGTGACATCTCCCTGCTACACATTTCATACCAGGAATGGAAGCTTCTTTAAGGCAGGATATAGCAGCCCATCCAAGTATCCATTTCTCCCTGGCCTCTGCTTCCCCAAAGCCTGTTTCTTTTGTGCATTAAGGTATGGCACTGAATAACGTCAGACAAAGATTCCCATCTCTTCTGTTGTATAATATGACAGATGGAATCCTGTGTAATGTGTCTCAGGTGTACTGTGTTTAAAAATAAAAATAACTTTTATATTTAATGCTTAAATTGTCATATTAAACCTACATATGAAGAAGAGTATGGCTTGTGTGTGTTTGTCACATTCTGTTGGCATCTCTCATCTGTCCCTAAAAAGGCTGTGTCGTCTCTAAATGTGACCTCACAGAAACGGTTGTGGCCTCTCCTGTGTGTTTTGTAGACATTGTAATTTGGTGTCTCGTGCTAACAGAAAATACTTATTAGGAGCAAGTGCCATTAAACGGAGGGGTTTGCTTTTGAGTAAACATGAGTAGGATTGTGTTGTTCGGCTGCAAACCCATAGCCACTTGTCAGAAATTGGCCCCATTGAAATCAGTGGGAGCTGCTTCTGAGTAGACTTGTCTAGGATTGCAGGAGTATATTTATTTAAGAGTACATCACTTTCTAAAACAAGCCCCAGGAAGAAGAGTGTTTTAAACTGGCAAAAGCTTTCTTAGGAGAGCAGAGAAAAAGTAGCACCCAGTTGATTTCATGAGTTTGCAAAAAGGTATCTTGTGTGTGAAATTATTTTCGCAAAGCAGTCTAAAATAAGCTGCTATTGATAAACAATTTTTTAAAAAGATCCTTGGTGTTATTTTCAGATTTCCAGCTGGTGTCTTTGATTTATTCTGTGAAGCAAAACCAATGTTTGTGAGGAGTGAATCTCTCCTCTTTTTTTTTTAGCTTTCCAAATGTGAAATATTTCCCCTTTCCCTTTTATTTATGTCTACATTTATTCAAAGTATAATATTCTTCCTTTTAGAGCATAGCCCACACAAAGCAGTGTACAACTAGCAACTACACCACCCAAATTACATTTGTGTGGTTGTAAATATAAACGTCTTGAACCATAAGCAAACTCCAAGGCTGTTTGCTCTTCCTGCTCAGTTTCTGTTTGCACTGACTCAACCTCTCCTACATTGAATACACCCCCTTAAACATGCCCACATTTCATTGGATGCCAGGATTGGGCACCCACCCATCCTCCTGTTCTCAACAAAAAGAGGTGTAAAGAATTTCTCCCTGTGAACGAGCATGGGGGAGGTTGGTGGTGTGATGCCTTTTCTCCCATTGATGGGAGAAGAACATGCCCACACCATTTTGTACTCTTGTCTCTCTTTCTGCTGTTTAGATGTCCCGGTATTTTGTGTAGTGACACACATCCCAGAACAGCCATTTTGTGATATGCCAGTTGCAACCCCCTCCAGCAGTCATTTTGTGGAACAACTTATCAACATGCCCACTGCCCTCAAAGTGTTGATGACCTCTCCTAGAAAAACCACCTTGCAGGGATCATTTGTGCAGGATTGTGTGCTACTGTTCTGGCTTTCCAGACTGTAAATCTCCCCAGAGGCACACAAGGATGGCTACAAAAAACTACTACACAAGAAAAAGGGATTGGCATAGATGTGGCTGTGCTAAGGGCCACTGAATGTTTGCTGCAGTTTTGGGGCATCCAAAACCAAGGGCAGATGCATTAGGACAGGGGTAGGCAACTTGCTGCCCTCCAAATGTTGCGACTGCAACTCCCATCATCTTTGACCACTGGCTGTGCTCCCTGGGATGATGGAATTAGGATTCCAATAGCAACTGGAAGAAATCCTATTGGCTAATCCTTGCATTAGATTGTGTGTGTGTGTGTGTGTGTGTGTGTGTGTGAAATATGCTGTCTGTTGAGTCATTGGTTGGGTGATGCGACATGAATAAGAGTTGTGACCAGCACAAAGCTTTTTGCCAAAGCTTCAAAGAATAATTTCAGAGATTTAAAATGGGTTATCTGAAGTGGCACATCAGGATATGTTTTAAGTGCAAAGAAGGAATTCTCTCTTGCACAAAAACTTAGCATTTATTATCTCCCTCAGACAGATGTAAATGCCAAAGTAGTATTGAAAGACGGGTAATGATTAAACTAAAGTCAACAACAACCACCCTAGTTTATGCAACGAGCATAACTTCATCCTTTGTTCCGTAAATGCAAAGCTTAAAGGTATTTCTACAAGGAGAGTAAAGTGCACTTCTGATCCTCTTTGAAACTGTTTGGCCTGCAGCAGAGGGAGATTGTTAATGGTGGACAGAATGCAAGGAAGACCTTGGATGCACGTTATAGGTTTTACATTCATGTTATAGACCAATTTAAACACAGATCAATGTAAGCCTCCTATAAAACTGCCTACATTTTCAGTTTCTTGAACTCATCAAGCTGTGTTAATAGATGTATTGTCAAGAAGCTGCTTGAGCAAAGCTCTCAGTGCAACAAAACATGATTTGCCGCTGCTTCAGTTCAGCTCTTTTGGACGTAGAAAGAGGTTTGTCACTAAATATAGCCTTCATTCTATTCGGGAACATAATCCAAAATCACCATGAATGCAATGCACACGTCTTTTGATCTACAAAATGTATATATGCTTCAGGGAGCAGTTGTGAAACAAAGGATTGCTTTTGGTGCATACATGTGAGGGCAGTCAGCAAGGCCGCTTGCTTGCAGACTGAAATGCTCAGGAGCAAGGGATGGTAAGATTGTGCAGTATGGTATTATGCATGGAATATTTCTCCATGATAAATGTCCCTGAAGTTTGGGGCATACCTGGGCAAAGCAGCCCACAAAGGGAAAAAAGAATCCTGCAGCCTTTGGGACTCCAGGGACCATTGAATTGTGGTCATGATTTCCGCAATAACCAATACAGTTTACTTATTGTGTGTATTTCAAGTACTTCACCACAAAAATTCACATATAATTGCCTCTGGGTTTGTTATTTCATGCAGGAAAGCAGACTTTAACTCAAAATGTTTGATAGATGGAAATGGATTCAGTTTTAAGAGATTATGCCTATAGAATTTTATATGCTTTTATTACCTTGAATATTAAATTGGGTTATCTTCAAACTTAATGGATACACACACACACACACACACACACACACACACATATACAAGGATGGATAAAAATCCATATATATATGGATTTTTATCCATCCTTGTAGATGTATAAAAGAGCCTCACAATTCAGTTGTAGCTGCCCTGGCAACTGAATTGCACTGGCATAAGTCATGTAGTAGTTGGCACTCTTATCTATTAATATAAGGGAAGTATTACTTCACCATTTAGAACTGTGATAAAGGAACAGACTTGAGATGTTTGCCATATGATCAAGTGGTGCTTTCCCGTTCTTCTCTGGGAAAGTTGAATGGAACAGTTGAGCATATCTCCTAGCGGCGCAGTTACGGGGTGGAGAAAAGTTCTGCATTTGGTTGATATGGGAACCATGTGTTCTCTGGACACAGAATAACATTTGGTTGGTTTAAAAGCACCAGAGACTAGAGGGCCAGAATTTCTACATGTGAGTCCCATAGGCTTTAGAAGAGGGGAAGGGGGGGAGAAATAACCCGAATACAAAGTACAAGGCTAGAATTAAATGCAAAATAGAAATAGAAATGGATGGGTTGAGCCTACTGGTGACCCCTGTTGTAGGGGAGTGAGCTGGCCAGTGGTCCTGGGACTCTGGAGTATAGACCTTGGTCAACAGCCAGACAGGAAGTACCTCTGGAGGCTACAGAGCTCTTCAGACTGCAACAAGAGTGGCACTAAGCAGTGCGGAGTGAGAAGTCTTGTTTTGTCCCACAAACAAAACACAGTACAGTGGTACCTCGGGTTAAGTACTTAATTTGTTCCAGAGGTCTGTACTTAACCTGAAGCACCACTTTAGCTAATGGGGCCTCCTGCTGCTGCCGCGCCGCCAGAGTACGATTTCTCATCCTGAAGCAAAGTTCTTAACCTGAAGCACTATTTCTGGGTTAGCAGAGTCTTTAACCTGAAGCGTATGTAACCTGAAGCATATGTAACCCGAGGTACCACTGTAGTTTGAGGGAAGGCATGACTCTGTCACATAAGACGTTTCACGTTGGGAAACACATTTACATTAAATAAAAGGTAGATATCTATCACACACTCAAATGATAGTCTGAAAACTATTGCATTAGCATAAGTCATGTATTAGTGGGTGCTCTTATCTTAGCCTGGAAACTGTCACGGCCCCAAAGGAGAAAGGGCTGGAGAAAGTTCCACGGACCACAAACTGCTGCTCTTGATCTTCTTTGCTCCTGACCTAGTTTGGGGCTTTGCAGACAGGAAGAATGGAAAAATCTTCCTCCAGTGAGAATATCCTCTCCACAGGGAGGCTCCAAAAGAAGATTGGGGCAAACAATATATGCTCTATCTAGGGAATGGGGCAAGGGAGCATGAGTTGCAAGCTTCTCACATCCGTTGCTACTAATCCAGTTGCCTCAGGGCAATCTTGCACATGGTGTCTTTTTCTTTCGTGGATACAGAAAAAAGTATCCTCTTTTACAATCATATGTAAAAACTGGGCATGTGTTGGTGCACACATGTGGAACCCAATGGAACTATCTGTAAGTAGTGCAACCTGAAATGGACTCTATCGTCGCCATGCATTTAGGAAGGGTCCAGTCCAGAACGATGCAACGCTATGCAAATGGTACAATGAAGAATCCCTTCACACAATTCGGTTCCACTTGTTCCTACCACACTACAACTGCAATGCAATTGGAGGGGGTGGAGATAACTCTATGAATTTACTCTGAAATCTGTTCTGAGTATACAAACAGCTTAGAAAATTATAGGTGGTTTCTCTTTCTCTCTCAAACCAAACAACTCAAACTCCTTCAATGTAATCCTTGGTTAAAAAGCACTGGCCAAAGGCGATACCGTACATTAGGCATGGATTCCACCCCTTCCTGTTATTTGTTTAGGTGAAATGAATTGTGTGATGCTGACATCTAGAGGGCTACAGAAAAAAAGCACGTTCCTGTTTGGAAAACCATGGCGGTACTTCATTAGTGGATACACAGAAACCATCCCAGAAATCGCATGACATTACATCCAGTACATGATCGCAAACATATGCTTGCCACCATACGTAAAAAGGTGGTGTGAAGCTGCAGTCAACCCCAACTCTCAGCAATGTATATCCGAATAATATTTGCAAGCACGCATTTGTCATGTGTGTTTGTGCGCACACGTAAGAAGCAGCCTCCTAGTGCTCCATCTTCAAACTTTTTTAATTAGAGGATTCCCCCCCACACACCCCACACCCCGAGACTGGGTTTTAGTCCACATTTACACACTACTAGATAGAATCTACTTAGCAGTAATGTCTCAGCGCTCATATAATCCAATATCCCCTCCCCCCTTTCCATTTCTTCTCTTGTTATACTTTTAACAGTTCTATAGGCTGGCAAAAAATTGCAAATGCAAATTATACCACAAATGTCAAGTGAACCCTGCCCACTCAGCCCCTCCCCCCAGTATAGTTTTCCTGGAGGAAAATGTAGATGCCTAGTTCAAATGATAAAGCTGATCACTTAGCTATACATTTACTTATTCATTTGTTCGTTCCTTGGTTCCTTTATTTTATATCCCGCCTTACCTCCCAAAGAAGTCCAAGGCAATCAACACATTAACAGTAAAAGCATAGTAAGTAAGTAAAAGCATTTCTAAAACTGCTTAGAACATTCTAAGGACAGTTAAAAACATTCCCTCTGCCGGTGATGGCAGGCTTGCCATGAACAGAGTCTTTCAACCATCATATGCTTGGGTAAATTCCTCCTAAAACCAGGCATGAGGGAGGCAGGTGCACCTCAACAGCGAGGACATTCCACAAATGGGGAAGCACCACTGAGAAGGACCTGTCACAAGTCAATTCCAACCAGGGATCTCCCAGAGGGGACACCATCAATGAAGCCTTAAGTGCCTGCCATAGGGTTGGAGACGGCTGATATTGGGGAAGGTGCTATGTTAGGGACTTAGGTCCCAAGCCATTTTAGGTACACGTCACATATTGATCTTTACTTTTATGCTACACTGGAAAGCATTTCTTCCCAAATCCTGAATGAACACAGAAATAACGGTCAATGTTCTGCCTAAAAGTTGATGGTCAATACTTTATTCGGTGAATGTTCACGTGTAAATTCTCACAATTTCGGGTGACTTTTCTGATTGCCTGAAAACACACCTGTACATTTCTCTTACTTTTCATAGATACATCAGTGGGTACTGGCAAACATTATTCATCCCTTTTTAGACAATCATAAAGTTTCTCTGGGACTGTTAGCAGAAGCAGCATGCTTCCAGGAAGAACTTCTCCTGTTGGAGTGTGAAGGAGGACTGCTAGGGCCTGCTGTGCTGCAACCTGTTCCCTACCTATATGGGATGCAGAACCTGGTAGGGATTAGCAGCTGGTGTTAGATGAAACTTCTGGGAATGACCTTGAAAATGTCCCAGACAAAGGAGCTCTGGAGGAAGGGAGAGGGGCAGCACCAGAGGGACTGCCTAAACTCTCCATCAAGGCAGAGAGCAAACTCTGGTAGGAAGAACCCAGATGCCCAGTGTGCTTTGAACACTTTTACCCCAAAGTTTCCTGGAAATGTGGGTGAGTTCCTGGAAGAGACATGCAAGAAGGTCCCCCCCCCCGCCTTCTTCAAATGCCTGTTCCAGAAAAAGTCTGAGTCAGAGCTGCCAGGAAAGGAGCCGCCAAAGGCACTCAAAACTCTGCTAAAAAACTGAAGGCGGAACTCGCTTCTTCTACCTGCTGCTGCTGCAATAGGCCTCACCTCTGGTCCACATGGGACAGACAGAGGTGCCTCTGTGGGTGTTGGATGGGGTCTTCCTGAACAGACAAGCAAAGCAGAGTGATGGACAAACCTAAGAACCGATAGCCATAGGCACACGGATATCTGCCGAGTCTTTCAGTCCCCCAGCGGCTAAGTGAGCAAGAGGACAGGATTCCTGTGCCTTTAGTAGCTGTGTAGCGGAGGAGGTTTCAGCAGGTGTAGCCTGTCCTGCAACTATTGCAGGTGCAGCAGCCCTGCCCTCTCCTTCCCTTGGCCCACCCTGCATGTCACAGCTAGCAGGTGCAACAGATAGGTCCTTGCTTGTAAATTAAAGTGTGCCATTGCCTAAGCGCATGGCTCAGCCCATTCTTCTGTCGGGTGTGCTCTTACCTGCCAGGCCCTCTGGTGACCTTGTTTGGAAATACAGTTAACAATAAGAGGACACTCAAGCACCCAAGGTGAGTTGAGTTGAATTGGAGCCCTGTCTCCAGCCACTATTTGTTCTGCTGCCATGCGCCTTGGTTCTGATCAGAAGTGTTTAGCTAGCAGTGTCAGTTGGAGGAACATTTAGTGTTTAGCATCTAAGGAAGCTGTGCTTCCAAAGTTTTCCCTTGTGCTTGGTAGGAGCCCAACATTAATTTTGTCAATGTTGTCCTGGCTCTGGATTTGAGCTTTGGATATGAGCCAGCTGAGACTGGGGTTGTTGCATTACCTGATGAAGAACCGGTCTTGGGAGCACCCCCCACACTGGAGCAAAGGAACTTCAAAGGGAGACTGCAGCATGAAACTATTCAATTATAATGCAGCACATTAAGGGGGTCAATGCAGAGACAAATGATAAGACGAATTGGTTTATCAGTGCCAGGATGTCTGCATTACCAACACATGCTCTGTGAATTAGAACTGCTAATTAGGTAGTACTAATGATCATCACTGTCTGCACTCTTCTACATTTCACTTCCCTCTGATTTCACTGCTTTCAGCCTCCCCAGTGCCCTGCATGTATTCATTTAGCTGGAACGCAGGAATACACTTCATGCATTGGATGAAGCTTGTGAAAACTTATTCCATAATAAAGTCTTTCTGGTGCCACAGCATGCTTTGTTCTTGCTGAAAAGTCCCTCAGCTCCACTGTAAGGCCCAAGAGATCAGGGAGCATCCCTGGCAAGATGACACTTGCCTTCCAATTAGGTAGGTAGGTATTTATTTATTTGCAGCACAGAAAAACAAATAAAGAGTTTGATCCAGGTGGTTGTGGGGAGGGGTATGATGCTTGAGATGGATAAGACTGGAAGGAAGGACTTGTAAGGCTTCAGTTCACCTCTCGTCTACATCTCTGTTAGAGCAAATTGCTCAACTAAGCACTTCC